TCAGCAGGACCTTTACAGAAGTCAGCAGTGCTGGAAATTAAGGTTGATTAATTCTTTCTGCGTTGGATTTTCCTAGGCAAAGCAGGGGAAGGTGGTGAGCTCCAGGTCTGGATCAAAGAAGCCAAGAACCTCACAGCTGCCAAATCTGGGGGGACGTCAGACAGCTTTGTCAAGGGGTGAGTGGTGGGTCCTGGGTGGGGGAGGAAATGAAGGCATTGCTGGCATCCCAGAGCTGCTATGGGGAGGAATGGTCTCTCTGCTGACTGCTCCATGCTGCCTGTGTTGGTACCCTGAAGTCCCCATCTGCCCACCTCTGTCTGGAGGTGAGATGTTCCTGGTATCAAACACTCTCTTGTGTTTTCTCCAGCTGAGAGGTCACAGTGGGAGGCTGCATGCAGGGTATGGCTCCAAGTGCCATCAAACTGTCTTCTTAGAGGTCACCAGGCCAATGAGCAGTGTGGCTGGGGACAAGCAGGCTACAGTCCTTGCCCTGTCTCCTCCTGACCTGCAGTCTGCTGAGCAGCATCTCAGGAGTCAGGGCAGAGACCCACCCCCTTGAAGACCATATTGGCTCTTCTTGGGCTATGTTAGGGAAGGTGGGCACCAGACCCAGTCCTGGGGTACTGAGGTGCCCCAGACCCTGGGCCTGAAGGCAGTTGCATACATGCTGCTAACCCAAGGGGCTGCTTCATCCCCAGCTACCTCCTGCCACACAAAAACAAAGCCTCAAAGAGGAAGACGCCTGTGGTGAAGAAGACCCTGAACCCTCATTACAACCACACATTTGTCTACAATGGCATCAACCCCGAAGACCTGCAGCACATCTGCCTGGAGCTGACGGTCTGGGACAGGGAGCCACTGTCCAGCAATGACTTCCTTGGGGGTGTCCGTCTGGGAGTGGGCAATGGTGAGGAGCCCTGGGGTCCCATCAAACCCTGGGGGACAGGCAACCTTGCTTTGGTGTTGCCTCACTGTGGGCAGGAGGCTGCTCTGGCAGTAACTCCTGCCCACCTCCATCCTGTTTCCCAGGCATGAGCAATGGGCAGGCTGTGGACTGGATGGACTCCATGGGCGAGGAGCTGAACCTGTGGCAGAAGATGCGCCAGTACCCAGGCTCGTGGGCAGAGGGGACACTCCAGCTCCGCTCCACCATGGCCAAGCTGAGCCCATAGGTTGTGGCACCAGCACCAGGTCATGGCCAAGGGCTGGCACCTCTCCTCAGAAGCTGCACTCACTGCATGGCCCAGCAGGGCTGCCAAACTTGGTTACTCTTTTTGCTTATACTTTAATAAACATGACCTTCTCTGAACAGGCTTGGGCAGAAAGTTTTCTTGGCCTAGCTTTGTTTAAAGGATTTTCCTTTGGTTTTGGGCTTTGCACCAAATTTCAGGCTGAGCTGGAGTCCTTGTGGACCCTCCCTTCTTCCCCTCCAGGCAAAATGCTTTGAAATGTGGTTGTTAGGGTTTTTTTCCTTCTTTCCATTCTTCTCCCTTCCACCCGCTGTTTCACAGCCTGATCCCTCCTTGTCTTCCCTACCCTCCTCCCACAGTTTGCTGCCAACTCCAGGAATAAGGCTGGGATGGAGCCATAGGGGCTTGTGGGTGCTGGGGATAGTGGTCTCAGAGATACATTTCCTGGGCCTCCTTGCAACACACCTTCTGCCAGCACTGACTTTTATACAAATGTATTTATTTAGAGTTAATATTTTACTGCCAAAACAGTTCCCAGGAAGGGTTGCCCCATGGCTGGTGGAAGGGGAAATGAAGGGTACGGTGGGGAGGATGAGCCCTCAGGGTGGGCTGTGTGCTGGCTTTGCTGAGTGTGGAGCTGTCTGCTTTTACTAAAGGCATTTTGGCAACTGGGGCAGGACCTTGGTAGCAGTGCCAGGGAGGGAGGGGGTGCAGGCTGTACATGGGGTGAGAATGGCTGTGGGGAGGGTGAAGCTGCTGCATTAGAGGCTGCTGCTTTGGCCTGTCCACTCCCCTCTGCTCTGGCTCCCCATGTCCCCCTTGCCCTGGGGTCTAGTGGAGACACTCTGGTAGTTCCTGCTGTGGTTCTGGCCAGGCTGGGCCATCCCTCCCCACAGCTGGAGAGGCTGCTCCTGGCCGCTGGGCAGCGGGGACGCTGCCACACATGGCCCCTGTCCCCGTCCCTGCTCGCCTCTCTGTGCTGGAGAGCTGCTCCCCTTCCCCTGGCTGCCCTCAGCTCCCTGGTCCTCCTCTATGGTGGGCGACTAGAAAAGCAGAAAGGAAGGTGTGTGTCACGAGGCTGGAGGCAGAGGGGGGGTCTCTCCAGCGCTGCCTCACTCGCAGGGGTCCCCGCTCTGTGCCCGCCGCGCCGCCTCCCGCTCGCTCAGCAGGTAAGTGTCGATGAAGACAAAGAGCTCGTCAGGGTTGATGGGGGAGATGTAGCGCTCGCGGTCAGTGCCCCCCTTGTCCAGCAGCACCGCGTTGAAGTGGGAGCGGGTGAGGTGCAGGAACTGCCTGGGGGGTGCAGGGGGGAGCCACTGGTCAGGGCTGGGTGGCTGCGGGTTGGGGCTGAACCTGCCCATCCCATGCTACCACCCTCAGGTCCTCCTGAGGTGATGGCTCCCATCTCTTCCTCGGGGCTGTGAGCCCCAGAAGGGTCTGGGGTTGTTGTATTTGGGTATGCCAGGGGTGCCCCACATTGCACAAGCCTCTCTGGTGCAGCTCCTCCAGTGTCCATGAACCCAGCTGCTACCTCGTGCTTTGCCATCCCCAGAGGTGTCCCCATCCCTGGCATCTGGCTCTGCAGGACAACCCCCCATCCCTGCTACCTGAGCTCCTCGATGATGCTGAGGGACAGCTGGTGCTCCCGGATGCGTCCCACCTCGTGTGGGGGCTGCCCCACCAGCTCAACAGTGGTGACGTGACGCAGGTCCAGCCCACAGGCAGCTTGCTGTGGGGAGAGGGGTGGTGAGAGGGTGCTGGGGGGCATGGGAAGGGGGGTGGTGGGAGGGTCTCCTCACCTGCAGCATGGACATCTGCATCTTGTAGTAGCGGTTAGAGGGGTCGGGGGCCGAGATGACAAGGAGGCGACGTTTCTCGTGGAACTGATCCAGCAAGCTGGCAGCTGAGTTCACAGCTGTGTTGATCTGCATGGCTGAGGCAAGAGGCAAGCACGTGGGACAGTGCCATTTTGCCCTCCATTGCCCCTTCCCCACCCTTTCTCCCTGCTGGGCAGCACCTCCCCAAGCACAGCTGCAGTTAGGTTCACCCTGGCTCACGCCACTCACGTGCACAGAGGGGCTGGGAGCCTGTCCACTGCTGGGTGGACTGGCAGACCCTCAGCGAGGTGCCCTGGCGCTCGTAGCCCCCCTCGCACAGGTACTCGCAGGTGGCACCGTAGTTGTTGCCATCAGAGGTGCAGGACAGGTAGCCATTCTGCGGGGGCTTCAGGACAGGGCAGCGCCTCACTGTGAAAAGGGAGGCTGGTGAGGGCTGGGGGTGACGGGGCACGGCCCCAGCCAGGGGGTGCAGAGCCAGGGGGGAGGCAGGGGAGCTGGCAGCCCCAGGGGAGCCCAATTCACCTTGCACGCGGATGCGGAACTTGCAGCTGGCTCGGTTGTAGGCCTGGTCGTGGGCAGTGTAGCGGATCACGTGCTCTCCTTCAGGGAACTCAGAGCCGGGCTCTGGGCCCCGCAGCATCACCCTGCACCCATCAGCGGGTTTCTGCGTCAGGGCCCCAGGAGGGGACACCTTGTGCTGTCCCCAGCCCTCACCAGCAGTGCCCACAGTGCCTCTGCCCTCACCTCTTGATGACACCGTCAGCAGAGTCCCTCACACGGGGTGGGTCCCAGTAGATGGTGGCAGTCAGCTTGCCTGGCTCGTCTATCCGCTCTCGGGAGTCTGGGCAGCGGATCTTAGGAGGCTCCAAATCTACCCGCAGGGAGGAGAAGGAGCTGTGTAACCTTCAGGTGCTGGGGCTGGGCTGTGAGAGCCGAGGACTGGCCCTGGCACCCATTCCCCCCAGGGATGCTGCACAAAACCCCAGCACCCTGGAGCCAGCAATGCCAGCACTGAGTGCCATGATCCTGGACCAACATGCCCCGCACGAGCCTGTGCTTCAGGGCTCACAGCACCTCAAGGAGCAGCAGAACAGGGGTCTCAGGGCCAGTCACCCCCTGGCAATGCTGGGTGAGGTGTAGGTGTGATATCTGCAGGCACCCGAGGGATTTAGGGTGGCCTCCCTCGTGCGCCCCAGCGGCGTGGGACTGCGGGGATGGTAGGGTGAGAATTTACCTACACAGATTGGCTCGCTGCCACTCCAGCGCCCATCTTCCATGCAGATGCGTCTCTGGTCGCCCTCCAGCTGGTAGCCAGGCTGGCAAGTGTAGTCGCAGCGGGAATCCATCTGTCCCCCAGCCGAGCAGACATAGGAGCCCCGCAGCACCGCTGGAAGCCTGGGGCACCGAATTTCTGGGACGGAGAGAGCAAAAACGGGAGGGAAGCAGCTGCCCGGCTGTGCTGGCGGGCAGAGCACCCAGGATCAGCTGCGACGGGTGCCCGGAAGGACGCCAGTGAGCCGGTGGGCAGGGCACACTCACGCCGGCAGTACGCCATCCCGGACCAGTGGCGGCTGGGCAGGCACTGGACAGCGCTGGGCCCCACCAGCCGGTACCCGCGGGCGCAGCTCAGCTCGCAGCGCGTTCCCAGGCTGCTGCGGTAGGAGCTGCCCCGCGGCGAGTAGCAGGTGGCCTCTCCGCGGTGGATGTTGAGCGTGGCACACCACTGGGGCACTGGGGGAAAGAAACGAGGTGACAGGGGTGACCGGCCCCCCTGTGTCTCTGTTTCCCCATGGGGACCCACGGGGTAGGCCCAGGTTACCTCGGCGATAGTCCAGGGCAGGCTCAGGAGGAGGCTCTTCCACGTACACCTCGTTGGTGTGGCCCTCAGCAGCGTAGTAGCCAGACCCTGGGAAAAAGGGAGAGGCGAAGAGCTGTGTGATGCTTCACTGCTGCTGCAGTGCCCGGGTGACAGGGCCTCCCTAGGCAGCGGCACCCTGCAGCCCCAGAGCATCCCACTGCTCTCCAGTGATTGCTCCTACCCCCAGGAGCTCTTGTCCTGCAGCCTTGGGGCTGCTGTTAAGGGTTAAGCCGGGCAGCCGGTGAGCCCCGGGACAGGGCCG